TTTGTCCGTCCACCTGCTCGTGCGCCCAATGGTGTCGCATATGTGCTACACACTCTCCGGTTCGCAAAAAAAAGAGCACCGCCTACAAATTTGCAACAGAGTTTGAACATGGTCCAGACAGGTCAAAGAAAGCGCCCTTAATGCCATTACAACCAAAATTAAAACGCCTCTTTTCAAACATTAAAATTTATTGTTCGTTTTGTTGTACATTTGATGAATTATTTTGTATTACTAAGTTCAGCTGTTCAAGTAATGAGAGATAAGTATTTAGAAATACTTCCGGATTGCATATATCCAATTCCTCAAAAATATTTTTTTTTGCTACTTACTTCGTTGTTCACTTTTTTTATATATTTAATATTTTAAATTCACTTGTTGATGTTGCTTGATCCGTGGTCGATATCAAAACGATCGAACGTTTGGAAAAATGGCGGTTTGCAAAATTTTCACGAATTAGTAGAAACCGTGATGATCTTTCATTGTATGTTTGAAAACACTTGCAGAATTGAAAAGTGTTGCCAGCCAATAATGAGCAATCACGGAAGAAAATAGAATACGAATGAAAAATTCGCTCAGATGTCATTATTTCTTGCTTTAATAATGAATACGTCACCTCTTCGATGTATTAAACTGTCTTTTGTTATTTATATTAATCAATGTATAAAACAATTTAATTAATGTAAAATTTTGAATAAGTATTAGAAATATATGTAAATTGTATAACTATATGTAAATCATTTAGCATTTAAGGTTTTACAGAAATAGGTTTTGGAATGTAAATCAAAAAAAATAAATAAAATAATAAAGCTGTGAAGGAAAAATGCAAATTGTTGTGCAATTGCCTGCTTCCTAGCGGAGTTTATAAATTCTTGAGAACATACATACGGCTTTACTGGAAATATACATTACCTTACAGAATAAATGCGTATTTATTTTAAGATGTTTAGCGAATGTTACAAATTTTTACATGCCTGCACCTCTGTTTCTCAAAAGGAATAAAAAATTATTTTGCGACCATTACTCTTAAACTATAGCAGATAAATCTATAATTCGCTATAACTGATTTATTGATCAAGATGAGAACTAAAGTAAGTATAGGGAATAGCAGAAAAAGTCTTCTAGAAAAACAAACAAACGCTTCTATGCAAACTGATATTTTTATCTCGAACCCGAATCCTTATGAAAAGTAATCCCTATGAAATGATGCTTTCTTTGGCCACAACGCGAAAAGAGTCAAAAAAAAACAATTTTTTTAAAATCTTTTCATTTGTCAAAAAAAGTGTATACAAAGAGTCAAAAAAAAAACAATTTTCTTTTTAAATTTAAAAATGGAATCAAATAAAGTTAATAAAAAAGGTGAAGAAAGTCGCCCAGTCGCTTTAAAAAAAAGTGTGGGTCGCTACGAAGACGAAATAATTTCCTTAGTGGATTCCCGGCCTTATGCGCGAACAACCATAACCAATTTTGACAATTTGACAAGCTCGCAAAAATCTTGTCATGAATTGTTGTCACAGTCTGTTGCTGAGTTATCGACAAGTGGATATGAATTTCATATCTCTGATGAAGAGTTAATCGAATGTTGCACTAAAGCGGAAGATACGATGAAAGAAGTAAAAAATATAGAGGCTCCAGAAGAAAAAGAAACAATTGTGGATGTAGTATTTGAGGACTCTCCAGAAGGAGGAGAAGACAACAAAAAGAAGACAATAGTAGATATAATATTTGAGGACTTTTCTACATCGCCTTTTAATAGTCCTGTAGTATCACCCGAGAATAAGTTAAGGAATTTGGAACGGTCCCCTTTATATATATTACGGGAAAAACCAAGGAAAAACTACAGCCGCGATTTTAGAGAAAAGGCACAATTGGCTCTTTTATACGATTATACGCCAGAAAGTAAGTAGCTCTTTATAGGCTTTTTTTAAAAACTCTAACTTTGTACATTCATTTTAGGAAAAGCTTCAGATCGTGGTTATACCGAGAAAGAGGAGACGTACAACGTAAATCAAAGTAAGTTGTTTTTAAAATCCGCTATGAGACAATATTTAAATTAATCCAAAATTTTTTAGCTCTAGTACCATCTAACCATCTACCAGTGTAAAACTGAGATAAGGAACAATTACGATTGGGATGACCATGATGATGACATTTTTGCTTCCATAAGCACTCAGGAAATCCTACATCAAGACGTGAAGGTCAATAATTTTCCTCATATGTCGAAGTTCCCAGTAAATGAGCAGATAGCCCAGGGTATGATATTCCTCATATTTCATAACGCTTATTTTTTTTATTATTAATTTGATTGGCTTTAAAGGTAACCAAAGAGACAATATTAGTGGGTGCTCTAAGAACTTGGAGCTCAGCGAAACTAAAGTTGCATTAGGACTAGGAGAACGGCCGGAGTTGGGAGTAAATAAAAATGCAGTTGGCCTGAATGAAATTTTTATTGAAAACAAATCGGAAGAAGTGCAAAGTAAAGTGAATCGAGATGAAGTGGGCAAGGTGAATAATCCGGAAAGTTCACTTGTTTCTGCTGGTTTCCAAACAGCAAATGGTAAAAAAATCTCCGCATCGAAATAATGCCAAATATCAAAAAAGGAATTATGAAACTGAACTAAAAGACATAGAAGCTCGGATGTCGATTAAAAGTATTAAAAGTATGGAGTCAAAGTTTGGAAAAAATACAAACAGTAGTGCGCAAATAGCCAACAAAACAGGCTTTCAAGCGATGTGCGAAAAAGGCAAAGAAGAAAAAATCAACGAATCTCCCAGCACCAGCAAATTGTCAGCAGCTGGTCCAATGCTGTGTCGTAAAAAGTATGTGTTTTCCTTAAATCCGAATTTTAACTATAGGCCACCCCCCAACTTTGTGAGACACCGAATAGAAACTCGCGACAAACCGAGACTACGACACCAGAATTAGGGGAGTTCGTTAATAATGCTGTTAAAACAAGTACACCATGCGTCAATAGACCAAAGAGGGGACGGCTCTCGGGCTTAAGACGTACTGGCATTAGTTCAAAGAAATAAATACTACTTTATATTACACTGGGTAAGAGCAACGGAAGCCTTTTTTTAATTCAAAAACGTCTTGATATCTTTTTTCATTTAAATTAGTTTTGCTATTTTTTCGCATTTTATTTAATTAATGACATTTCAATGTATTTTACTTATCCTTGTTTTCTTGTATCTTTTTGCTCTTCAAATACTTATATAGTTATAGCTTTTTTAGTGTTTATTTTTATTCATTCCACATAAGAATGCAGTTTTTAATAAATGAACACAGAAAAAAATATATACTCATGGAATATTATTCGATTTTAAAATTTTTGTAGATTTTTCTGCTGTAGTTTATGAATAATGAACAAGGAACGCAATTTTTAACGTCACATTGTAGGCGTGTCCTTCGATCGATATGCGCCGTTTACATTGTTGTGGCCTAGAAACAAACAAAGATTACATAGATGGGCAGACAGCCATAAATCGATTTATGATTAGATACTGGCCAGAAACGTATATACACCCTATGAAAAGTAATCCCTATGAAATGATGCTTTCTTTGGCCACAATGTCTGCAGTGGTGTAGAGTACGTTAAAGTCGACTTTACGCGACTACAATATTTTTAGTTTTATTAGAGGCAATTACATAAACACACAAACATAAGTGTGCCCCTAATACGTTCTCGATTGCGATCATTTACTTGTCTTTCGTTTCATTAAAGAATTCAAACAATGGTGGATCGGTATGCGAATCGGGTAAGATCGAATTTCCCCGTATAATCTGTGATTGATCCCAAAATTGGTGCTAAGTAAACGAAGCTCCTGGGCTTTGCTTGCCGATACAAAAAAGTTGGCCTATTTCCTTTATGTATTTTTGAGTGTTATTTGAAAGAAAAAATTTCTTATAACGAAACAAACGGAAGTTGAACGAAATTTTTATTTATTTATAAAAATCACAATTAGTATTTATGTGTTTATGTGTGTACAGTGGTGTCTGCTTTGTATCTAAAAATAATCACAAAATAAATATCATAAATATTATTATTATTAATATCATTACTTACTTTTATTATTTATAATAATATTGGTTTATTACTATGGTGCCATTACCGCGCTTAGGCGCTTCGCGGCCCTGATTCTCGCGGCGCAATATTTTGCGTAAATCGAATGTTCCATCACGCCAATTTCCCCGCCGTTGCCACCCATTGCGCTGCTGGCGGTTTAACCATTGCCTAAAGTAATTCGTATAATTATTGTATTTTCCATCAACGAGCAGAAAATAGTTTTCTGCACATAACGGTCACATTTCATTTTTCTTTGTTCTTAATGCTGATCGAGAAAAAGCAATAGCTGATAAGAGAACAACACACACACATAATTTACGACTGCATACAAGTACGGTGGCGCATATTTGTGTTCTATGCCGTCAATATGAGAAAACCAGCTAACGGCTTTTAGCGAGAAAACAATTTCACAAGTGCACGAGGAAGTTTTGGAAATATATATAGATGTGTCTATGTATGTACATATATATATGTATATATGTATGTATCGTATAAAGAATACATATTTTGGTAGAGGACGGATTCTAATCAACTTTATTCAAAATTTAAGCAAAATTTAATCAAATGTCATGTGTGTCCTATTTAAAGTTTATTTCATCCATTTGTAAGTCATTAGAGGAAGGTCCCACCAAAACAGGCTCATCAATGTTGTAGGTGCAGCTTACATATATACGTCTGATTTCACAAAAAAATAGCGGCATATAACAAGTGTGCTTGTACATACTTGTTCATTTTTGTTGTTGGATTACCCATTGCCTTTTTAAATTATGCGGAAAGCTTTTCTGCTCGTGGTTGCTACGTGTAATTTCCAAGAATAGTTTCCTTCTTCTTCTTGTTCTTTACTTCTTTCGCATGCTTGTCGAAAACTCGTGAAATGTTTGTCTGAGGCTTATAAAAAAAAAAAACAGCTAATGGCAGCGTATTTTCAACGCTCCGAGAAATCTCTTAAGCCATTATCTGATCAGTTTTTTGCTTAAGTCTTTCCTGTTTGCTTTTCTCGCAATAATGGAAAAATCTATTTAACTGAACGAACAAGGAAATCAACAGCTTGTAAAAGTTGATCCCATTGTACGCTAACAATATGAACGCGTTAAAAATAGATGTTTCCAAATTGCGAAGCGCACGAATTTCGTTACGTATCCTATCGCTAGCCAAAGCATAATATATAAATATGTATAAATCTGAATATGTCCTGAAAAGAGTAAAAGAAAAAAAAGGAAAATCAGAACACTTGGATAACTTTAAAGCATTTTTATAATCGAATTATTCAAAATAGTATAAATTCGTAACGGATGTCAACAAAATTTCAAAAGACGTATTTTATATACTTCTGAGTTTTATTGGCGTAAAAAGTAGACAAAGTGTATATAAGGATGAGCAAATAATTTTTTTTGGTTTTTGGACACAGAGTTGTGGTGATTTATTATGTTATACTGCGAGCGTATCCTTCGACGGATTTGGGTCATTTCCATTTCATTTGTGTAAAACCCAGAAGTGTGGAAATATGTTTTTTCCAAACAAGACATAATGTGAAGGCATGTATTATCACCTTTTAATAATAAATCTACGAAAACACAGAAAACAAAAGTAGGCATAAATCGTGATATTTTTGGCAAAAAAATTTTGTTTTTTAAAACATTGGATATCATCTTTTTCAGTCTAATGGTTTAGTTTAGTTTTTCGCAAGAATTGCTTGAACTATATGCTGCTGTAATCCATCAAGCTTACAGTTGCTTTAAAAGATTTTGAAATTTCTTACTGTAAAAGAATTCTTTCTTAATAGGAACGAAAGCTGTCTTTAAAAATCTGAGTTCAATATGAATAATTGAAGTGATATGCAGAGCAATCAACCGAAATCCTAGACGTTCTGCAATAGTGAAAAATATCTTTCGTATAATAGTGCAAAAAAGGGAAATTCTAATGCAGGTCATGCGGAGCATTCCTTTTTGCTTTTGCAGTATCCCCAGATGTGATTGACGGACTATTCAAAAAAATTTTATAATGAAGCTCTTAATATCTTGAACTTTTTTGATTTTAGAAATATATGTTGGGAGTGAGTACAAATTAGTTCGGCCAATTTTTTTTATTGTCGAAAATGCTAATCAACGTATTGTGTACTACTTTCTTTCACCCCTGAGACAATTTTCGATTCTCATCTCGAAAGAATGTGCCGTGTTTTGAGGCTAGCCTTACGTGTATAAGATCCATGGTAATCGAAATGTTGTTGTTTTAGTATCGATTTTCAATTTGTTTTTTTATACCTTGATATAAAATACTTTATTTTCGGATTTAAGGTGGAGCATTAGAAATTAGGGTGGTCGGCTCATAGACTGCCGAGCTTTGCTTTAGAATGATTGCATATAGCCTAATTAATTCTTTCGTTGCCATGGCGAACGAATAAAATATATCTATCGAATTTTTCTTAAAATTTTCCTTTTCCTTAGCACACATTTCGCTCTAAATTAACTTTTCTAAGCTTTGGATCGTTCACTTTTTCGAAATTGTGATGCGTTAGTCATTATAAAACTAATATTTGCCCTAGTTCACATAATTTATTGCTAATTTTTCTTAAATATGTTCTTAAAAATGTTCATTGTCATAGAGTAGAGCGAATTGATTTCGACTGAATCTAAGATTCAAATCATAATATGGATATGAATCGGAATTTAGATGTACCTGTACATTCGTTAAATTGCAATGAGTAAATTTGTTTTCGGCGTTTCGAAATGCTATAAGTAGAAACCGCGGTCGTTCGTTTTCACTGGCTAACTTAACATTCCATAAGACGACTGCACTCTGTGGAAGTGTAGGATAATAATACATATCCCAAGTTCTGAACTACATATTTAACGGTTGGCGAGAATTGATTTTTTTAAATACCTCCAATTTGCAACCGTCAGCGAGTTGAACATGTGGCATCTTCCATGTAATATTCAAAATACTTAATTTAATTTGTTCGTTTGCCACGGTAGTTGTAATAGCTTGTTTATCATC